TATATATATGCAAAAAAAATGTATATAATAGTTCAAAAAAAATATATGTAAATATGATGTTTAATTAACAATTTTTAGTGTATAATTACGTAAATATATTTCTGCATTAATACGTGTAATATGAAAACCAATATATTTATTGTTGTTAGTATTCATTGTAAAACATTGATAAATATTTGAGACAAAACGAGCTTAAATATAAAAATAACAACTTATTTGGAAAACTGTCCCATTACATTGCTAAAATAAGTATACCATCAGATGTTCTGAAAATAGTCTTTGGTGCAACATTTGAAAACAAAATCAATCTTGTGAAAAGAGCATTGGGTAGAGGTGCACATTTCAAAATGGTTTTTTTTACCGAAGGAAAAAAGTCGAACCTGTTTTTAAGAACCAATTAGGTTAAAACTGAATTGTCGATTAGTACTAAGTTTTAATAAATATCTAAAGTCGGGATTTTTTCCTGGTTCTACTGTAACTGACCGAACCTATTTTTTAATCGAAAAAACCATTTTTTTTAGCAAAAAAAATCAATATTTCAACACAATTCACTTAAAAAAAACAAAAAACAAAATCGATTATAACTAAAACTGATTCAAATCGGTATATGTGCATCTTTAGTCTTAGGACATGAGATAAATAGAAAAGCTTCATCATCACAATAGCAAAATTCTATTTCATTATTTCTTACTAAGTTTATATTTTTTAGCGTGAGAAATAAGTCATTTCAAGGGATCCAATATGATGTGCATAAAGAAGAAGAAAAAGTAGAAACATGACCTAGGATTTTAGAATCGGTTACAATTTTTGGTGATCGATGATTAGGGCATATGTGATTTAGGGATATAGGGTTTCATGTTAGTAACCGACTCCATTAATGAATAACAAGGAAAATGTTAAAGCTGAATTTAGGTAATCGATGATTAGTAACCGACTCCATTAATGACCTAGGATTTTAGAATCGGTTACAATTTTAGGTGATCGATGATTAGGGCATATGTGATTTAGGGATATAGGGTTTCATGTTAGTAACCGACTCCATTAATGAATAACAAGGAAAATGTTAAAGCTGAATTTATTTGGAAAAAAAGCCTTTAGGTCTAAAACGAAGAAAAGTGCAAAATGCAAGGTATTTTATGGAAAAAAGCTCATTGGTAACCTTATGGGGCTGAAATAACAAGTAATAGGTAAAAGTTGGATCTTTCTAAAAAAAAATTAGGTAAAAAAAACTCAAAATGTAAGGTCTTTTATGGAAGTGACCCAAATATTTATGAGCGATTCAATGACCCATACCATATTAAGCTCGCTAGGATTTGTGAGCCATATATTTCTTTGCGAGTAGTTGGTAAGTTATAGAGTCCGATCAATTTGACCTCAAATTATGTTACTAAGACTTAGTTATGCGCCCCCGTGTCCAAGGACTGTAGTTGCAGATCTCGATAAGCGAATAACAGTCCTGCCCACTGCAGTTGCAGTGGTGTTGTTGGGTTATGCAACAACACTTTCATTTTGTATGTAACATTTTCACGATTAGTAAAATCGTCTCTCTCGTTGGTCTGTGGATTAACAGATCATTCTGATCGTGTGAACCACATTAAATAATTGTGTTGTTAATTTTGTTGATTTCATTTATTTACTGTGATATCCTTTATTGTTTGGTTGGAGTGCTTAACACTAAAAATAGCAACTTTTTGCTTAATACCAATGTACTTTTGCACCATGCACTAAGAGTTTAATATCGCTACATAGTCGTGAGGCAACGTATTTGTATCAATTTAAGGGGATATAGATTCTACCCATTCGATACTTAAATGATATTTTCAATGTGATTATTGTCGTCCTTTGACTTCTTGGTCATTTGTTTTGATGTTCCCTAGTTGACACTGTTTGTTGTGCTCCGCCGACTTGACTAGACATTACTATATGAGTTGAAGATGAAAGTTGACATAGAAGATATCAATATAGAATGCCAAAAAGTAGCATTAATGATTAACTTATCCTTTGTAATAAAGAAAGATTAAGTCACAATAAACTATAGGATACGACCTCTCAAGACCAGCCTAAAACAATTTATAAAAATTTGATTTTGTTCTTTTTTTATTTTTGGAAACGACAAATATATATATTAATAAAAGCCAATCGATTAGCAAGTAACTAAAACAAGGGCAACAAGTACAAATAAAGAAGTCTGAAATAGAAATAAAATAACAAACTTAACAAAAGGGAGAGAGACTCCATTCTATCGACCTGCCTTTCTCCTCCTTAGATCTGAACTTGAACCATGAGAAGGTCTGTGAGATCACCTCATCAGCAATCTTTGCAGGATTAGTGTGAATCCCTTTAAACCTCTTGTTGTTTCTAGCTAACCATATGAACCATAAAAGTCCATATATCACCACAGTTACCCTAACTCTCTTTTTTGGGCAGTTACCCCATGTTGCTGCGAAGCTAAGGAACTCATTTACATCATCACATTGAGAATTAGGAATTCCACACCAATTTAAGATCCATTTCCGAGCCTCCATAGAAACCTCACATTTAATCAGCAAGTGATCACTAGACTCCTGAGCCATATTGCAGAGAGAGCACATGTTTGATTGAACTTTGACTCCTCTTGCTTCTAGATTTGCCGCCACGGGTATTCTGTTCATAGCTGCCCTCCAGATAAAGCATATGATTTTTAGTGGGATTACATTTAACCAACATATCTTGCTATCTTTACCAGGATTAATATTGGACTCTATTATGTTGCGTATAGTACAAGCTGTATAACGACCATCTGCACTTAGATTGAATCGAAAACCATTTTGTGTTGGTAGTGTATTACCCCCCTGAAGCATTTCACATAGATTTGTCAGATCACCCATGACCTCATCTTCTATAATCTGTGACTTCCAACGCCAACAGAAACCTGATGAGATTATTCTGTCAGACACCAAACATAGTTTTGTGGTTTCCAATTCATATAATCTGGGAAATCTCTCTTGTAATGTTAAGGACCCACACCAACGGTCTTTCCAGAATAGAATTGTTACATTGGAACCAGGTACAAGTGTAAACAGCTCATGATAATTTATATCAAATTCATGAAGAGCTTTTATGGCTTTAGCAATGTTGCTCCACACCCCACACATCGATGTTTTTGCTATCGCGGTAACCGGTTTTCGTGACAAATTATGTATACTTTTTATGCAATTTTTCCATAAACCATCACTCACTGGATTGAGTTTCCACCACCATTTTGTGAGCAATGATGCGTTTTGAGCTTTTAACGATCCAACTCCTAGTCCTCCATCCTTTTTTTGGTGCCACAACTTTAGACCATGAAACCCAATGAATCCGAGAATGGGACTCACTACCGCTCCAAAGGAATTTCCTTCTCATTTTCTCAAGTTCATTAATTATACCATTTGGCTCCTTGAATTAACCTCAAAAGTTCCTATCCTTGTCGCTTTTAGTCCTTATTCTTCAAGATGACTTCTTTTGGCTGCAAAATGTAAATAGATCTTATAAGTACCATTTATCTATGCAAATAACGAAAATATTAATCAAAATGTATTCAAATATTGCCTAAAAATATGTATAAATATGGCAATATCATGTATCAAGCATCAAAGAACCTATAGAGATCTTCTATGATAATGAGGGTGCAGTCGTGTTGAATAAAGAACCCAAGGACAATGGGAAGTCAAGACACATACTGAGAAAATACCACTATGTTCGGGAAATAGTCGAGGTTGGAAACATCGTCGTGAGTAGAGCATCATATGAGGAAAATCTTGCTGATCCTTTCACAAAGCCATTGTCAAGGGACACAAATGATGGTCATGCTAGGACCATTGGGATGAGACTTTTGATGAAATGATGAAACTGTTTAGTTGTTAGTTTGTTTATTTTTGAAACATATAACAATAGGAATTGAAACCGATTTGATGTTTATTTCATGATGACTTAATAAAGAGCTTTTACTGCCATCAAAGTTGTGTTCTTTCATTTATTTGTTTCACTTTTGCATGTTTTGAACCCACTTCCAGAATAATAATATTCAAACCTCAATATTCGTTCACACTTTGGAAAGTGAGTGAGTGATTTAAGATTGTCATGAGTATTATTAGATTGTCCATATAGATTGGACATTACATATTGATTGTGCTGCACTTATGAGTACTTGAAATAGAGATATAAGTATTGGAATAACCCTCCCTTCAAGATTACTTCATGGATCAAGTCACAAGTAATTCTAAGATGATAATATCTTTTATTCTTCAAACCAAGATACATATGGGGTTTTGATGAAAAATCTATTGTATAGTAGTTTGCTCCAACGTTAGCCTTCACTGGTAGTCGTAAAGGGTATGTCCATGTATGCTAGGAAGAGTAGACAAAAACTATGTAGCCAAAGTTTATTTGTTCCTTTTCATAACTAAGAAGTAATATCTATGGGCCCCTTGATGATTTGGTGCTGATATCTGAAGTGATTGGTTGATCCCTAGCTAAATTGATGTTTTCGATTTAGAAGTTAGATGTGATCGTCATATGTCGTTATCGGGAAATAGAATTTTGAAACTGAGATTGATCCTTAGCTATGTCTCATGTTCATACAAATATCTAGAACAAATGAATAATTGATCACTTATCTAAGGACTAAACTTTGATTAAGATCAAAGTTTGACAGTTTGATTAGATGACTACTCTCTGTTAATTGATTGTTAATTGATAAAGAAGTATTAGACATTTAAAAGTTAATGAATGATCCAAATGAGAGACTATTGGAAATAGTGTCTATGGTCATTAACCGTTTGATAATAATTCTAATAATAACATGGTCCTTTTGGGTTGGCGTCATAACACATTAGCAATAAAGAAATGGAGAAAAATAAGTTTTCAATTTATGAAGTAATTAAGAAATTAATTGGAAATTATGTTGGAATTAATTAAATTGTTTTAACTAGTTAAAGGGATTGAATATTAATTAATTTCTAGAATTAGAATATTCCAGAAGCCTCGTGGAAGAAGGCTGGGGCCGGTTTGAGCATCCCTGAATACGGATAATGCAAGTTTTGAATAAGGTAAGGTTTTTCCTTAGGTATTTGAATTTCTTAAGGATTAATCTATTGTCTATAAATAGACTGATATAGATTAAACCATAGGTGTTGATTCTCTCTCTGAACCTGTCAATCCTTTCTCCTTTATCTCTCTTTCTCTCTCTCGCGCGCGCTCTCTCTCTCTCTCTATATATATATATATATCCCTCTCTCTCTCTCTCTCTCTCTCTCTCTCTCTCTCTCTCTCTCTCTCTCCTATTGTTGAAAATCATAACCTCTCTCCTAGGGTTAGTGATTTTCAAATTAACCTTCAAAAGGGTTATTCCTTATTTTCTTTTTGGAGTTTTGGGTCTGACTACGTTAGAGGGATTCTTCATTGGGTCCTTCATCCATTGCAAGAGTTGGATATCACATTTTTTTTCTTGTAAATCGAAATTATGGACGTCTCTAAAATAATGATAAAGTGGCTTGTTAAACACTGAAATCTATTATCTCAGGTACAACCATGTTGTAATAGGAATTTGATCTGGACCAACGGACTTGTTCCTCCCTGTCCCTGGTCAAATTTATTTCACTTCTTCGCTACTAATCCTCGAGCATGATCGCTTAAATTTGGTATGTACTCTACCTACACGTCCCTTTAATATTGCAGACCTCAAGACATAGAACCCTTGTTAAATAAAGAATGAAAATAGTTACCCTATTCTCTCTTACTTCCTCATCATTTAATAGCACATGACCATTTTCATCCTTAATATACTTGACAATTAACTTATGTCCCTTTTTCTTCTCCCCCTAGCTTTTTCTAGCTTGTAGATACTAGTCTTCTATTATTTGGTGTCTAATATCTATACATCGCCTTATACGTCATGGCCTTAGATATGGCTACGAATTTATTTGCCTTGCTACTTGCCTTGTTGTATCTTTCTTTCACCCTCACTTTCTCTTCATCATCACTACTCTCTATAACTCCTTAAATCATATTTGTTTATTCCTAACATTATAATAGACCTCCTCACTCCATTAGCAGGATTCTCTCTGTTTATTAGCCTTGCCAAACGACATCCTAAGTGTATGTTAGGCCACTTCTCTGATGACTCGGGTCATATTATTTCATAAACTTCATGCCTCCTTGGTATAACTACCATGTCCCTAAAACTATTAATTATAGTTCCCTTTAAGTGTTTCCTAAGAATCCTTAGCTTAGCCTCCTTTCTTCTTCTTTGAACCCTTCTTGATAAAAGGAGATGCACAACCAACAATATATGTTATGATGCACATGCATCTCCCGTAATAACCTTGCAGTATATACATGACTTAAGGTCACCCTTACACAACATAGGTGGTCAGTGTTGTGCACCCCGTTTTGGAACGTAATCAAGGGGTCCTCCTGTTTTTTTAAAAAGATTTGTGATAACCAAATCATGTGAAATAGCAAATTTGGGAAGCAAGCGCCCATCATCTGTGTCTCGTACATGTACACCCGGATACCCATCTGTTTCAATCCCAATATGATCGTTGAAGTCTCCCACTAACACCAATTGTTGGTCTAACATGCCATGTATGTTGTGTGTACGTGCACACAACGTTTATCACCTCCCCTTCTTCTACAACCTTGATCGTTATGATCCTATCACGACATCTCATAACCACTACTGCGATATCTTTTAGCACATGGGACAACAATACACCAACTCCATTCCTCGCATTTTCTAGGCCCGAATACAACAACTTATACCCATTGTACTTTCTAGCTCCCACTTTCCACCTAGTCTCCTAGAAACAAGGAATGCCCACTTACCTTTTCCTTAGAATCTCAGTGAAATCCAACAACTTCGCATTCAAAGAACCTACGTTAAGAGTACAAATTCTCAACCTAAGATCCTCCCTGCCACTACCCTTACGTACCCTTACCCTTCACCATAGAAACATATATAGCACCCTACTAGGCCTTCCCCTCGTAGAAACCCCTGTCACGCTACTAACAAGAGACGACCTCAAACTATCATAATTAACACACAACTCTATATTGTTCTACTACAATATGTACCCAACACCCAATAGTCAAGCAAGCTACTAATTACAAAGAAACTAACGCAAGTATGCAGTAGATGGGAGAATAAACAAAGATAGCAATTTAGGGTATTATTAGTGGTAAATCTTCAAAGACCAAATAAATAACTAGAATAAAATAATTTATGAATACCGGTATTTCTTTTGAATTAAAACTTTTACATGTTGTGTACGAATCCAATGTGTGGGTAAACGATCCAAAGATTACCTAACAAATTATATTTAAGTGAAAGGAGGCTCGAGATTTTAAAATTATTTAGACGGTCAACTAATATACAATTTTACTAGGAGTAGATTACTATGCATAAAAATAGAAATACGAATACATATTTATAACAAAATAAACTTATTTATGAGGGAAGCAAGGTGGGTTGTAAATTCTGTTGGAGCGTCAAAAATTAATAGTGCGTGATAGAAGTGTGGAGTTATAACAGGATAGGGAAGTGGGAGTTTTTGGGCGGAGAAAAGGGTATACGGAGGTGTGCGCAGGTCAAAAGTCAAAACCGATGTCCGACAGGGTGCACAGGTCAGAAACGCTGAGGGTGTGGAAGGGTTGAAGCCAAGGGTGTATGGTTTCTGGTGGCGAAGAGATAAGGGTAAGGGAGAGGGTGTTGGTCGGAAGGGAAGGGAGAATGAGAAAAACTAACAATTATTAAGTGGGCCATACAGACCCTGATAAGCATAATACTAAGAGGCATCATGTAAGTCAAAATTTTCCTATGGATCGACCGAGTCTCCTTTGATAATGTCATGATAATGTCATGATAATGATGTCTATTTTGTCCTATACACCTCCAAGTCTCTATCCAATAACGACTTCCTCAAATTTTCCGCAAAACAAGTTAACAACTACAAATTGTAATAAAAGAGAAGCTGCAAACAAATAGCTAGCATCACTCTGGCTAAATATTTCGAACATGGGTTCATACTATCATTCATCTGATTACTGCTATGACATTGTATTACCATCTTATTTTGGAAATCGATCTTCTTCAGGACTATCTGTAAACCTCACCAACCAAAATATCGAATCCTTGATGTATTTCTGTGAGAAAATAGTTGATTTGGAAGACCAAGACAAGTACAGCGGGCCTATGGTGTGGATTGGTATCTACATCTCAATGGCATCATTCTTTTGCATTCTCGCGATGGTAGCTGATCTGTTCAATGGTTTTCAGAAAAGGAAATTTTGGTTTCCAAGTAAATATTTCTCTCTAAATGCTGTTTCTATCACAGTGATAGCGGTTGCAATGAAACTCCCTGTGGATTTGAGTAGTCAAATGCCAGGGTGGGTGGACCAAGTAGCTAAGCAGGGAAGCATAGTTTTTATGTGCATGATGATGGCTAACTTGATGCCTTCTTTGGCGTCTATGGACAACAAGTCACTTCTTGCAAATGTGATAGGTTTTGCTATTCTCATTATCACCATAATTGTGAATATTTTTATGGAGATTAATACTGGAGTTATTGATCGAGGATACTTCTTTGTAGCATTGTTACTCTTCTTACTAATAATTTTGATCTCTTCTGCAATATCACTTCCAATCTCTAAGCAAATTCTACAACTCAAGTATCAAGCGATTAGCAAAACAACTTTACAAGATCATTGTCCAGAAGATATATTTGATATTGAGAAGCTAAGACAACATGTGAAAAGATACTGGATCATGGCAGAAACTGGTAGCCCACAATTTGTAATGGCTAGTAATCCGTTATCATGTGCTTCTGGTGTAATTTGTGTAACTGGTCTAGCCACATACATATTACTTCTGGTGTTAAATTTTATGCTCCCAATTTATAAAAGATACCAATCGGATTATAAGTGGTCAATGGTTGTGATTGTTATCACACAATCTAGTGGAGTGGTAATAGGTGTCATCGCCCCAATGTTTAGATGTTTTACGGTTGTGAGCTTTAAATCTTTTACTAGGTGGAATAGGAACCATTTGGAGGTCTTTAAAGTAGAGAAGTATTGG